TGGCGATCACTTTCTCTCATTCTCTGTAATAGGGTTGTTTTTTTTTTTTAACTATTCACTCTGTTATTTCACAGTACGCTTTCTCACTGTTAGCAGATGAACGTGCTTCTTCTTTCAGCGAGAAGCATTGAGGCCAACAGGTGAGGGTTTGCTGAGCATCTTCCCTGGCTTCTGTAAGTACTGGCATCTGCTTCGATGCTTCTCTCCTAACTTCTAGTTTCACAAGAAGATGACTTGCCCCTCCTCCCCCTCTAGGTTTAGTCTGTCTATCTGTATTCCTTTATTTTATTTTTATATTCAGGCACTGTATATCATCACAACATGCAAAATGAATTTTCCCAGCTTGAATACACCGTGTATTATTTCATTCAAAGCTCTTACCATACCCAGTATTATCCACAGATAATTTCCCATTTTTGTGTCCTTTAATGTTTCACTTCTTCCTTTTTCCCCTGGATTTCCTCTCTCTCATGCTCCCCTATTTCCCACTCCTCACAGAGTCTCTAGTATCTGTAGCTGCTCTCCATGTTTTTATACCTTCCTACCATCCTATTTCTGCCACAGAATGCAGGTATTTTGTATATATTGAGTGGGAACATACAGTGCCTCTACTGCAAAATCTGGCTTTTTTGCTTAGCATTAAATCTTCCCTATTCGTCCACTTTCTATCGAATGCCAGGGTCTCATTGTTTTTTTATGGCTGAGTAGTATTCTGTAGTGTATATGTGCCACACATTTTCAATCAGTTCATCCGTTCATGGATATTTGGGTTGATTCCATGTCTTAGCAATTATGAATAATGCTGCAATAAACATGGGTATGCTAGTGCCTTTCTGAATGTATTCCCATCCTTTGAGTGAATTCTCAGGAGTGGAATTGCTGGATCATATGCTACTTCTATTTGTAGGTCTTTGAGGAAATTCCATATGGTTCTCTGCAGTGGCTGTACTAATTTACATCTTCACCAACAGTGTAGAAGAATCCTCTTCACCACAGCCTTAGCAACACTTACCGTTATTTTTTTAACCTTAGCCATTCTGACTGGGGCTTGATGTTAGAACATTGTGATTTTGATTCGCGTCTCCCTTATGATAAGGGATGTTGAACATTTTTTCATCTGCTTTGTTGTTGTTTGTATGTCTTCCTTAGAGAGTTGATTGTTCAGCTCATCTTCTCTCTCTCTTTTTTTTTTTCTTTTTTGGGTAAGCAGTTTGAGTTCCCTGTATATTCTGGTTATCAGTCCCTTATGTGAGGGACAGTTTGCAAATATATTCTCCCATTCTCAGAGTTGTCAATTCACTCTAATTATTGTTTCTTTTCTTGTGCAGAAGCTTTTTAACCTGGTATAATCCCACTTGTCTATTTTTGGGATTATTGCCTGTGCTTTGGGGTCTTATTTAAGAAGTCTTTGCCTACTTCAGTGTCTTCAGGAATTTCTCTGTATTTTTCACTACTAGTTTTATAGTTTGAAATGTTAGGGTTAGAACTTTTTGAGCCATTTCGAGTTGATTTTTGTTACTGGTAAGAGTTAGGTGTCCAGTTTCATCTCTCTGTAGGTGGATGTCTAACTGTATTTTGCATCTTGCCTTCTTCACCTCTTTGAGGACCTTGTTCCATAAATTCTTTCTCCTATTTTCAGCTCCTCTTTTTTTCTTTCTTTCTTTTTTTTTTTTTTAACTGCCTTTCTCTGTTCAGCATGTAAATTGGAAAAAGAAAAGTAGTTAAGTGCACTAACCCAGGCCAAAACACATTTATATTCCAGTTTATTCATTCTCTAGCCCTCAGGAGTCATCTGTCTCCTTCCCTTTCTACCCAGTGTTTTGTAAGGGTAGTCTGTATTAGCTATGTCTATATTTGTATGTTTGGCTTATTACTGTTGAACTCACTTCTTCCCCGAAGTTAAGTGGTCCATTTACTGTTAAATCAAGCATACTCACTTCAGTCAGTATGTTACCTATTATGTCTTTAACATTTGACACAGTTGACCACTCCCTCCTCTTTGAACTCTTTGTTTTTCTGACATCTTTGATCTTGTTCTATATGGAAGCCACATGGAATCTCACTCTCTCTCTCTTTTCTTTCTTCTTTATTTGGTGTGTGTGTATGTGTTTTAGGTTAAGAGTGGCAATGTCTTTTTTTTCAGTCACTTGTGGTATACTGTTCCCCAATCCATTTGCCCTGTCTACTTGTATTTCGGGGTCTCTTAAAAGCCCTTTTCCCCCTTTCCTCTACTAGCCCTAACCCCTGCACAGTCTGGTACCTACAGTTACTTTATTTCTGTATCTTGGAATCTTTAAATTTCTGCCATAGAGTGCAGACATTTGGTACATGTAGTATTTGCCTTGATAGTCTGGCTTATTTCACTTAGCATTATATCATCCATACTCAACCGCTTTGTCTTATAACAGAATCTCATTGTTCTTTATGGCTGATTAGTATTCCATTGTCTATGTGTTCCACACTTGAGCAATCTAGTCATGGTTTGTTGGATAGTGGGTTCATTCCATGTCTCAGCTCTCGTAAATAATGCTGCAGTAAACATGGAGGTACCAATGTGTTTACTACTGAGTGATTTCCTGTCCCTGGGATACATACCCAGCAGTGGGATCACTCAGTCACATGGTAGTTCTCACTAAATTTTTGGCACTTCCCTAACGCTATCTGCAGTGGCTGTACTAATTTGCCTTCTCACCAGCAGTGCAGGAGAGTTCCCTCTTCACCACAGCCTGGCCAGCACTTGTCATTCTTCTTTCTCCTGATCATAGCCATTATGACTGGGTTAGGCTATACTTCCTTGTGGTTTTGACTTGCACTTCCCTTCAGATAAGAAATATTGAATATTTTCTCATATGCTTTTTGGCCATTCATAATGACTTCTTTTGAGAGTTGCCTGTTCAGATCAGTTGTCCATTTTAATTAAATTATTCGTTTTTCTGTAGACTGGCTGCATGAGTTCCCTGTGTGTTCTGATTATTGATCCCTTATCTGAGGTGTAGTTTGCACGTATTTTGGGGCTGTCTTTTTATTGTTTGTCGTCCAGAAGCTTTTTGGTTTGATGCAATCTCAGTTATTTTGGTGTTGTCCATGCTTTATGGATCTTATTAGAAAAATCTTTGCCTACTCCACTGTCTTTAAGTGTTTCCCACAAGTAGTTTTATAGATTAGAGCTTTACTTTTAGATCTTTGATCCTTTTTTTTTCTCTTTTTTTGAGATGTTTTTGCTATAGGGTGTGTGCGCTTGCAAGGAAGGCAGAGACAGAGAGAAAGAAAGTGAGAAATCACCCCCCAGGGGAATGGCCATGCCACAATCCCTTCTCCTCCATTCTTCTCTCAGGATCTTGGGCACACACACACGTGGGCCTGGCATGTGTTTAAGCCACCGGGTCCAGGACTTGAACCGTGGTCAACTACATGGGAGTCCAACGACATAGCCATTATGCCAGCTGCTGGTCCCTTAAATACAGTCTTTTAAAAGGATTCTCTTTTGTGTTAGTTGAGTTTGTTGCAGCATTGTTGTATAATATTGAAAGATTAGATATTCTTTCATCACTAGGGGTGTAGTTGAATGTGTCATGGTACATCCATACAGTGAAGTACTAGGCAGGTGGTCAGATGAATAAAGTAGACCTATATGTACTGATGATGTATAGAAAAAGAACCAAAGAACAGATCTGTTACACACACACACACACACACACACACACACACACACATACTTTCTCTCTCCTCTCTCTCCCTTCTCCTATCATTTCTTAAAAAACAAACAACAAACAAACAAAAAATACCCCAGAACAAAAGACAGTTGTGTAATAGATCTATTAATATATGTAAATGTTTGAAAGAAGAAAATGTCTTGGTATCCACACATTAAACTTATGAATGATTTCATCTGAGAAGTGGAAATGGTGGGCAGAAGATATTAAAGGTTGCTTTATTTCCTTTTTATGTTTCTATTTTTTTAAAGAATTATTTAACTTTATTAATTTTAATTTTAATTTTGACCAGAGAGGGACAGAGTGAGAGAGCAAGAGAGAGGGAAAGTGAGAAAGCAAGCCTCCGGGTCTGGGATTCGAATCACGGTCTGCCATGTGGGAGTCCAGTGCCCTTAGCCACCACACCACCTTCTGGCCCTATATTTCTACTTTGTTTGAAAATTTTCAGTGATATTTTGTAATAAAACAATGATAATTTGAGAATTTTAAAAGAAGAATGAGCTTTGACTTACACTTCTTATTTTCCTTTCATTCTTCACCTCTTTGGGTCATAATATTACTTTTAAAAAATTTTTCATTTTCTTTCTAAACTCCAGTTGTGTTTACCCAGACTCCTTAGTGGGTTTCTCAAATCAGAACCGTATTCATCCCGTAGGAGTCACCTTGGGTTCCCTAGGAACCCTTTCTAGACCATGTTGTTTAATTTTAGAACATTTTCTTGTGTTCACACAGCACCCTGAGAAACCTTCTTAGGCCCCCGCGTGTAGAACAGGAGCTGTTTTATCTGCCTTTGTGTCTCACGGTCTGTGTTCAGTACGTAGCACGTGGTAGAAAGTTACTAAAAGGCTCTTGAGTATTAACACGATAAGGCTTAGAATTTGGAATATGACTCCTTAATACTAGCATGCACTGCTATGTAGGTTATCGTTTTATGCTATTTTTTCCAAGAAACTCTGTGTGAGGCACCATGTTTTAGTTAGATTTAAGGCTCTGTCTATGGTGTGTTGAGTTTATGTTGATAGGCTTTCCTACCACAACTCCAGACGGTATATTTAAATCTGGGGAGAGTTCTTCAGTGGTCATTGGGGGCGCAGCAGGGTGATTATTGTGTACTTCACTGTAACACAAAACATGGAGACGGATTTTTATTCTGCCATCTCTGTATGCACTGATTAAAGAAAACTTGCATTGTCGTGCTTAGAAGATGCGTAACGTTTCAGAAGCAGAAGGATGAACACGAATACATTCTTTGTGTAAGTTTGTCTCACAGTTTATTTTTTTTTCTAGGTGCAGCAGATAGATCGTGTGGTAGAAGTTGTGGAGGAAACAATTAAAGGTCAGTGTTGAAAGTGAAATAAGTGGCTGCATATACTTCCTGAACTATTTTATGAAAATACCCTTCAGTTAACACTTACTGAGTACCTTTGTAAAAGTTACTGTTTTAGATATAAAAATTTGTCCTTGGCTTTATGCACTGGCCAGTGACACATAGAGTAGGAAGTGTATATTTATTTGGGTTAGTAATTAATCAGGACATAGTCATTTTTTAAAAATCTAACTTTGATTTTTGTGTAAAATGGAGTAAGTTCGAATCTTGGATTAAAAGATAAATTTTCATCATCTTGAACCAGAGAAATAGGGGCCACCAGGTGGCTTGGTGGCTAAGGTACTTTATCACACCAGGCTGACTGTGGTTTGAGTCCTGGATCTGGCACCTTGAAAATCATGCTGGGCTCATTCTCCTGAAAGGAGAATGGAGAGAAAGGATTGTGGCGTGACCGTCCCACCGAGGGGTGATTTCTCCCTTTCCCTCTGTTTCTCGGTGAGTGTGCGCGCCCTGTGGCAAAAACTAACAAAAAGGATATGTTTTTATCTGTACGTTTTCATTTCACACTATTAGTGGCAATTATCTTTTCTTTTTTTTTTCTTTTTTTGGAGAGATTTTCGCTATAGGGCGTGTGCACTCGCCTGAAAGACAGAGAGAGACAGAGAGACAGAAAGCAAGAAATCACCTCCAGGGGGATGGCCATGCCACAATCCCTTCTCCTCCATTTTCCTCTCGGGATCTTGGGCATGCACACACATGCACCCGGTGTGAGTTTAAACCGCCGGGTCTGGGACTTGAACCGCAGTGGATTACCTGGGAGCCCAGCGACATAGCCATTACGCTAACTGCTAGTTCCTGGCAATTTAATTTTCTAAAAAGTTCTTTTCAAAGTAGTATTTAATTTTGAAACTTTTCAAGATGTATTTTTTTAAATGGAAAATAAAATTATGCTTTGATTATTTCATTAGCCAGTGCTGTGGAAACACATTCTTAGTGAGGTCACTGAGAGAGAAACTGCTGAGGACAGCGACTGAGTTTTAGATATTTACAGGTGGTTTTTCCTATTAGATTAACACAGATTCAAACCAATACTGTGCTTTTGACATGCTATTTAACTTAAACTCAAACTTAAACTTTTAACTGTTTTGTTAAAAATGAGATATTCATGTTTAAAAACAAACCATACCTGCTACAATGAAAATGTGTTCTTCATGTTTTTCCTGCTGGCTTGTGTCTGCTAACTTCTGCATGTTTTTATTCTTTCATTTTGACTCTTTGATTTGCTGGGGATCGATGACTAATCATACACTCTGAGACTATACCCTAATTTTAAAATTTCAAAATAAAATGAAATATCAGGGTTAAAAATTTCGAATAATGGGAACCAGCAGTTAGCGTAATGACTATGTCGCTGGACTCCCACGTAGTCGACCGCGGTTCGCGTCCCGGACCCGGTGGCTTAAAACTCACGCCGGGCGCATGTGTGTGCATGCCCAGGATCCTGAGAGGAGAATGGAGGAGAAGGGATTGCGGCGTGACCATCCCCCCGGGGGGTGATTTCTCGCTTTCTGTCTCTAATGTCTCTCTCTGTCTGTCTGGCGAGCGCATGCGCCCTATAGTGAAAAATCTCTCCAAAAAAAAAAAATTTGAATAATGATAATTTTGAGTAGGTTTTTAAAACTGTAGCTCAACTTGATGTTGGAGAATCTCGAAGTACCAGCATCTCTTATGGGCTGACATAGAGTCAGGCACCTTGCTAAGTATTTTGTGCGGATTAGGTCATGTATGTTGGCACTAACACTGTGAAGTGAAGCAGGTATAAACATCATTCTCACTGTGCCGATGAGGAAGTTGATACACAAGGGCAAACAGCAGGTAGGATCTGAATCCAGGTAGATTGGTTCCGAAGCCTGGACTCTGGCATTATGCTGTGATCGACAGTATGTCATAATTTCTCCGCCCTCTCCAGTTTAAGGAGCACTGTCAGTGTTGAGCATTTTAAGCAATGCTTTGAGATGCTCAAGCGTTGCCTTAGTTCTCTTGAGCTGCCTTAGTCCTCTTGAGTCTTGAGTTCCAGACATGTTGTGGACCCTTAACTAAAAGAAGATCACTGATACCATAGGAGAAAATCTGGGTGACCCGCGTATGGTGAGGACTTTTTGATACTACATCAAAGGTACAGTCCATGAAAGAAAGAATTGATAAGTAGGTGTTACTAGTATTAAAAACTTCTGCTCTACAAAAAATATGCTAGAGAATGAGAAGACAAGCCCAAAAGCAGGAGAAAATATTTGCAGGATTGTCTGATAGAAGACTGTTGTCCAAAATGTGAGAAGAGCTCTTAAAATGCACTAGTAAGAAAATGAACAACTCAATTAAAAAAATGGGTGAAAAGTCTGAACAGATACTTCACCACAAAAGCTAACAGATGGCAACTAAGCATATGAAACGTGCTCAGAATCATGCTGAAAATTAAGCAACAACGAGACGCCACTGCACACCTGGCATGATGGCCAAAATCCAAAACTTCGACAGCACCAAGTGCTGGCAAGGATGAGAAACAGCAGGAGCTGTCTTTCACTGCTGGTGCGAATGTAAGGTACTGTGGCCACTGTGGAAGAGTTTGGCAGTTTGTTAAGACTAAATGTAAGGGCCGGCAGATGGCGTGGTGGTTAATATGCTGGCCGCCCATATGGGAGACTGTGATTGGAGTCCTGGGCCCGGTGGCTAGAAAATCACGCTGAGCAAGTGTGTGTATGCACCCAAAGTCGCAAGATGAGAATGGAAGAGAAGGGATTACAGTGTGGCCAACCTCCCTTGGTAGTGACATCTCACTTTCCTTCTTTTTGTCTATTATCTGTCAAGTGCACGCACCCTATAGAAAAACCTAAAAAAGTACAAAGCTAAATATAATCTTAGCAAATAGACCAGCAGTTGAGCTCTTTGATATTTGTCCAAATGAGTTGAAAATTTGCGTTTACACAACAGCCTCTATATGATGTTTACAGTATCTATTCATAATTGCCAAAACGAGAAGCAAAGAGATCTTTCAGTAAAGAACTAAATTTTCACTAAATAAGCTGGTACATCCACACAGTGGAAGAATATTGAACTCTAAAATGAAATGAGCTATCAAGCCTCAAGAAGACATAGACTGTTAAGTAGCAGAAGCTCATCTGAAAAGGCTGCATGCCACACTGCATGATTCCAGCCATCCAGCATTCTGGAGAAGGTCTACTGCAAAGACAGCGAACATCTGTAGTGTCCAGTGCTTCGGGTTAGGGTGGTGTAAATAGGCAGAGCACGGAAGATATTTAGGACGGTGATGCCCTTCTGTGTGATACTGTGATGGCAGATGCATACCACTGCTCATTTGCTCCAACCTGTAGAATATACAGCACCAAGAATGACTCTGGATGTGGTACGCCAGTGTAGTTCATTGATTATAACAAAGGTACTGTTTTGGTGTGGGATGTCGGTAATAGCGGAGGTTGGGAGGGGGCCAGGGTATATGGTTTTACTGTGAACTTGAAGCTATTATAAAAAAAAAAAATCTATGATTTGACTGGTAATCAGTAGTGTACCCAGGAGTTTACTAAATGACTTGTAGAAACATAATTTCTGTGGGAAATCATAGAAGGCCTGTCATCCCCAGACTGGGTTAATTAGGAATGATATCTTACTGATGACCTTGAACTTGAGTGGATTTACTGGAGAGAGGCATTTGGATTTAGTTATGAGAGTGTATAGCAAGAGATTAGTTGAAGATGGATTGATAGGGTGTTTTATTGGGGGATTTGATTTGAGTATAAGAAGATTGAAGAAGTACATCTTAGTGATGTAAGAAGAGTTTTAGCTATGATGGTCATTTTGGAAGCCATTTTTAGTTTGCAAATGAAGCAGAGCAAGGAAGGAGTTAAGTGACTCATTTGCGATCTCTGTAAATGAAGAATTAGGCTTGTCCTTGCAATTCTATTCTTCATTTTCTGTTTCTGCTGGCAATACTTCAATTAGGCATGTCAGCAAAATAACATAGCCTCCATAGTAGCTAGCCAATTTATTGGTTATCTTTTTACTTCTAAGTTTTTTTCTCCTTTATTCATGATTAGCTACGCGCACGGTGGTGGTGGGCGGGGGAACAGAGCAGCTTTCCCCGGGTCTAGTTACAGTGCAGTCTCCTTCCTCCAGTCCTCCAGCCCTTTGGCTCCTAGGCGTTTCCGTGCATGCCTGGTGGTTTTCACACGGATCACACCCAGGAGTGGAACCATGGTCACCAGGTGGGATCTGGTTTCTCTTCAGCATGGCAGTATTGCTGCCCCATGGAGCTGGCCCTGCTTTTCTGTTAGAAAGTTATTTTTCTGAGGCCTTGTTTTGTCAGCGTAACATGGAGAGGATGAAATGAGTAAGACCTGTGAGGTACTCAGAGGATATTAAGGTGTCAGAATTTACTTCCTACAATTCCGGGAAACTTGGACTCCTGGGATCATCTAACTGATTTTGACCATCAGCGACTCTTCTTTTAATCCATCTGTATTCAAGGGATTTCAGAATGTCCATAGAAAATATGGAAGTAAAAGTATGAGTTCATTTTGTTCCAAACATTTGAAATTCATGCATATTTTTTCCAAAATATGCATTTTCCATGATCTTTTAAAGCTTCCCCCCCCACTGCATTGCCACCATTAACCTGGAATTCTTTTTCTGTCCTGAACATGTGCCTCCACTGTCTGTTTCCCACCAAATTAATTAGGGATTTTTTAGTATGATCTTAGTTGTTTTCTCCTCCATTTTACCATTTTTTATTTTTCTCCCACTCACGCCCTACCCACGTACTTTGATATTTCTTGATATTATTTTTGGTTCACTCTACATTCATCCTAGGATCTTCCATAGAGGTATGATTCTGTTTACCTCTCAGACCCAACCTTGATCGGTGTCCCTGGAGACCTGGAGGGATGCATCAGCAGGATCCTTGCCATTGGCATGAATGTCATGCCAACTGGAGTTGG